GTCGCCCCACTCCTGGCCTTAACATGAAATCCTTATTTTGAATTCTCCGTAAACAAAGTCCCAACTATACTAAACTTAGAACATTTGGTTATTTATGCTACCCATGACTTAAATCATACACCTCCATTAAACTTGAACCACACTCTAAGCCTACGTATTCCTTGGTTATAGCTTATCTCAGAGTGTTTATATATGTTACAATTTTTAATCTTAATGTCTTTACCACTCGAGACATGTCCAATTTTTAAAAGATATTTTCCCTTCTCTCCCTCTACAGATCCCTCCCATTCCAACACATCCAATACTCCATCACCACATCTCCCTTCTATCCAACCAACTCATCCAAAACTAATGTCCTTATATCTGTACCATCATCATCCTTTTTGGCTTCTCCATCTTCTAGTAGGTCCCCCTCTCACATGCCAGCCCAACTACTTAACCTTACCTCTCATGGTATACCCACGTTGCCTCCAGTTCCATCGCCAATATAATTGCCCCCCAAGTGCACTAGAAAGTCACCTTTCCTACTCGTCAGATGTTAACCTGTGGGAAACATGGAATTTTTAAACCAAAACAATCTTTTGCAGCATCCAAATATCCTCTTCCTTTCATTCAATGAGTCAACATGTGTCTTTCAAGCACTAAAGCATGAAGAATGGAGGCAAGTCATGTCTAATGAATTCTCTGCACTCATGAAGAATGGTACTTGGACATTTGTTCCCTCTCAGCCTCACTACAATGTAATTGGAAACAAATGGGTATCTTGTGCTAGAATTTTCTTTAATCCATTATGTAATTTTTGTTATGTAATGACTATTATGAAATTACCTTTTCCCTTTGAGATCTTGAATTACGTTGCTCTCACAACACAATATATAGTTCTCACACAATTAAGGATTTAGAGAGCACTTACCTGAATTCATTGTTCTTTGATGTTACCTCTCTCTTTGATGTCATTGATTCCTTGGTATTTTCTCCAACTCTTCCTTCCTCTTTCAGTTCCTCTCAGATGGTTGAGAGAAAGTTCCTTTATGCATTTACCGTGAGCTCACTTAGAAACTGTGAAAAGTGAGAAAATAGGGAATGCCATAACCCTCATTTGGTAACCGCTCTTTAATTTATATGAAAAGAGAGGGAAGGGTTTCCTTATAATTGTATTTACAATTGTACCCTCAATGACTCTATATTTTATATTTAACTACCATCACATTAAATCATTAATTAGAGTCATGTTATAAGTTACATAGGCCACTATAATAAGATTATTAAAATAATCTAACAATCTCCCACTTGACCTATGTGACGACTTGAAGATTCAATGAACTGTAAGTGCGCATATCATTGATAATATCAAGTCATCATCTTTTAATGATTTAAGTTGATCGGATCATGGTGGTCACAAGTCATTTGACGACATGATTCCTTTCAAGTATCACAGAACCAACCCAAATCAAAATAGCTTTAATCAGTCATACTACAAACTGTAACTCTGATGTGTTTTTAACACTCAACCTGTTATCAAACTCAAACCATACATGTACATTAACACAATTCAGATAACAAGTAAACAAGTAGAAACAATACTTTTATTGAATTCCCAAAATGTCTACAATAATATGAGCAAAATAATCTATACACATATATGTGAATCACACAATTATGCTAACAAGGACTTGTCTATAATGCCCATTCTACCAACATGGCCAGAAAACGTTTTAGGGGGCAATCCCTTAGTTAGCGAATTCGCTATCATTAAATCAGTACTAATGTGCTCAATAGACACTTTCTGTTTTTGCACTTCTTCTTTCACTGATAAGTATTTTAAGTCCATATGCTTTGCTCCCTTTGAATACTTATCATTCTTAGAAAAGAAGACGGCTGCAAAATTATCACAGTACATTCTCAGCAGCTTTTCTATATTATCAACAATACCAAGCCCTAAGACAAAGTTCCGCAGCCACAAAGCATGAATAGTGGCCTCAAAGCATGCCACAAATTTCGCTTCCATGGTAGATGTAGCAATAATGGACTCCTTTCCGTTTTTCCATGAAATCGCACCTCCAGCCAACAAGAAGATGTAGCCAAGGGTCGATTTCCTTGAGTCTACACATCCAGTATAGTCTGAATCCGAGTAGCCAACCACTTCCAGTTGACTAGTGATCGCGAGTGTCTCTCTCGGACAAATTAATAAAAATCAAATTGCATAAAAATTATGTAGTAAGAGGTGCAATCTGAGTCGTCTCTCAACGCTGATAACGTTATACGATTATAAAATTTTTAGAGGGGGTTTGATTTATAGAATAACTAATTAGAATCAAAAGTTAAAAATAATTAAAAACTCTAATCCAAGAATTTATAAAAATTACGACCACTCTATCACCGGATTCTAAGAAGATGCATCAACCAACAAATTAGTGATTAACATTAAATTCGAATGAAACCTCAATTCAAATTAAGCATTCACATGAGAACCCTCATGCATTCGATTAACAAACAATTCGCTCAAAGTATAGAAACCTCTAGAACCTAATCGATTTGTGTTAATTTAATTCACCAATGCCTTTAATCTTAGATCTCAAACCTGAAAATCTAATTCACACTCCTTCAAGAATTAATTACATACATCAACCGAATAATATGTAATCAAACAGCTGCACAATTATCAATCCAAATGAAGAACTTCAATTCGAAATCATAATTAGCAAAAGAAGAAAGAAGGAAGAGATGAAACCGAATTTGTTGTTGAATAAATTGCGAAACCGATCCTCAAGAGTGTCTCAGCCTTTTTTCAATCCTTGGACTAGATAGAAATCTAAGCCTTCATGGATGGAGGGAAACAAGTCGTAAAAAGGGGAGAGAGAGAGAGAGAGAGAGAGAAGAGAAGAGAAGAGAAGAGAAGAGCAAAAAAAAATTAAATTCAAAATTCAAAATTCTGTTCATCACTTTGTTCCATTTTTTTGGCTATGAAAACGGCCTCTTTTTGGTTCGTGGCCTCAAGGAAAATTGTATCCTTAGATGTTAGCTTCAAAACGCCACTGAAATGGGCTTAATCGGATGTCTGTGGACTGAGATATGGCCCAAATACGGTACTTTGCTCAGGATCCGTGACTGCAGCATTCTAACTTTTTCCAGGCCCAGTTTCAGCTTCTTATCATCAAAATTGGTTTCTAACCTCTCATAGGAATTGTGCACCTTTCTCTTAGCCTTCCTACAAATCAAGAATCACAATGAAAGGAGTTCTACAACTCAAGATATGGTCCAGAAACCAAAACAGTATCAGAATTTGCCAAATACTGGAAAAAAAAAATAAAGCCCAAATAAAATTCAAACATCTTAAAATGATCTAATTCAACCAATTAGGCACAAAAGAGGATTAATGAGCTAGGAATTAGAGGAAATAATGTTATAAAAATCCAATTGATCAACTAGATCTCTTATAAGTAAGCATGTAGTTCTTGGTGCCTTGTAAATACCTAAGGATTTTCTTTGCAGCCTTCCAGTGGTCCATTTTGGGTTTACTTTGATATCGGCCTAATATTCCAACAGCAAAACTGATATCAGGTCGAGTGCATGTTTGAGCATACATTAAACTCTCAACCACTGATGCATAGGAAATAGATTCCATTGCTTTATGCTCCAACTCATTCTTGGGACATTGTATTTCACTAAACTTGTCTCCCTTTTGAATTGAAACTACTCCTGATAAGCACTTTTTCCATTTTGAATCTCTCTAGTACTTTGTTGATGTAGCCTTTCTAAGACAATCCTAGTAATTCTTGTGATTTATTATGGAATATTTCTATTCCAATCACATAGGAAGCCTCACCCATATCTTTCATCTCAAAGTTCTTAGAGAGAAATTCCTTCACATCATGCAACAGCCTAACATCATTAGTAGCAAGAAGAATGTCATCAACATACTGGACTAAAATGATGAACTTACTCCCACTGACCTTCATATAGATACACCAGTCAACAGTGTTCTCTACAAAACCGTATGATGTGATGGTATCATTGAACTTAAGATACCATTGTCTGGAAGCCTGTTTCAACCCATATATTGATTTCTTTTACTTACATGTCATACTTTCTTTACCTGCGGTCAAGAAGCCATCTGCCTGATCTATATAAACTTCCTCTTCCAAGTCACCATTTAGAAAGGCGGTCTTTACATCCATTTGGTGGAGCTCTAAGTCATAATGAGCCACCAAAACCATAACAATTCTTAAAGAGTCTTTCTTTGAAACTGGAGAAAAGGTCTCGTTATAGTCTATGTCATCCTTTTGAGTGTATCCTTTAGCAACAAGTCTAGCCTTGTATCTCTCAACGTTGCCTTTTGAGTCACATTTGGTCTTAAAGACCCACTTGTAACCGACTCATTTTGAACCTTCAGGCAACTCGACTAGATCCCATATCTTGTTGTCACTCATTGATTTTAACTCTTCTTTCATGGCATTCAACCACTTTTCAGAATTGTAACATTCCATGGCTTGCTTAAATGAGACTGGATCCTCATCAATACTCAAGTCACATTCATGCTCAAGTAAGTAAACCATATAGTCATTAGAAATAGCCGATTTTTTCTGCCTTATAAACCTCATTAATGCTATCTCTTGTGGTTCACCTTCCCCTTTCTCACTTGTGACTTGCGCATTTTCAACTGGTTCATCCTCTATATGTTGTTCTTGTTGGTTTGGAACATTAACTTGTTGTCTCCTTATGTTGTGTGAATGTGATACAACAAGAGGAACAACAACTGGAGAAGAGACACCAATTATAGGAGTTTCTGCACATGTCTCTTTAATTTTCACCTTTCGTGTTTCGCCACTCCCACTAAACTGACCATTTTCAATGAACCTTGTATTTCCAGACTCAACTATTCTCATACTATGGTTAGGATAATAGAATCTGTACCCCTTTGATTTTTCAGGATAGCCGATGAAATAACCACTTATGGTTCTAGCATTAAGCTTCTTTTCATGTGGATTATACACTCTTACTTCTACTGGATAACCCCAGACATGAAGATGTCTTAAACTGGGTTTTTTTCCTGTCCATAATTCATAAGGAGTCTTTGGAATTGCCTTACTAGGAACTCTATTAAGCAGATACGCAACAATCTTTAATGCGTACATCCACAAAGACATAGGTACAAAACTGTAACTCAACATACTCCTAACCATTTTCATGATAGTACGATTTCGCCTTTCAGCCACACCATTTTGTTGTGGTGTACTAGGCATAGTATATTGTGCATATATGCCTCGACTTTCCAGAAGTTTTGCAAATGGACCTGGACATTGTCCACTTTCATCATATTTTCCATAATATTCACCACCTCTATCTGACCTCACAACCTTTACTTTTCTATCCAGTTACCTTTCCACCTCATCAATGAATACCTGTAAGACATCCACTGATTGAGATTTTTCATGCAACACATATAGATAACAATAACGTGAGTAATCATCAATGAAGGTAATGAAATATCTTTCACCACCCCAAGATGGGATGTCAAACGGACCACAAATATCAGTGTGTATCAACTCTAAGAGTTGACCACTTCTTGTGGCTGGATTCTTTGATGCGTGTTTAGTTTGTTTTCCTTTAATACAATCCACACATATATCCCAGTCAACAAAATCCAATTGAGGTAAAATTTCACTTTTCATTAACCTCATCATCCTTTCTTTGGATATGTGACCTAACATTTGATGCCATAAGAAGGCAGAGCATTCATTACGCACATTCAAATTACTACTAATAACACTCTCAACATGAAACAGAGATTCACCACTAGGTATTTTTAGGTACCTTAATAAGATTTGATTCAAAGCATACTGAAACATAATATATACCTTTCTTTTTGAACCAAACCTTTCTCTTCAGACAATCTTTCTTGAAGTAACCAGTCTTCTTGCAGAAGAAGCACCTCTGGCCCTTTTAGATTCGGCCTTCACGAACCTTTAATAAGGCCTTATCCTTCTTGTCCTTGTTGTCCTTCTTACCTGGCTTAGCCTTGCTACTACTAGCCTCTTCGTGAAATGTGAGATGGATAGAGTGTTCTTTCACCTTCTTCAGCCTCCCTTCCTCCTGAACCAGCATGGCCTTAATTTCCTATATGTTCCATTTATCCTTAATGGTGTTGTTATTCACCTGGAACTGACCAAACTCAGGAGGGAGTGAGTTTAAAATGAATTGTACTAGAAAGAATTCCTTTACCTCCATGTCCATTGATTTTAACTTTTTCGCTTGATTGATCATGTCAGTCACATGGTCATGAATAGGCCTGTGACCAATCAAACTTCTTAATAGTTAGCTCAGTCAACAGGGTGCATGTAATGGACTTGTCAATAATGTCCGATTGTGCATACTCTTTTACCTTTGCCATAAATTCCCTAGCATTTTCAATCTTTGGCATTGATGGTTTCACATCTTCAGCAAGCTTAAGCTCTGTGATGGCTGCAGGCTCTTGTTCCATAATGATTGCTAGGTCTAAGTCCATAACACCTAGCTAGAATCGAACTTGTTCAGCCCAATCATCATAATTAAGCCCATTGAACTTGACTACGCCATTGCTCATGCCATACGCATTCATAGGGACTGAAATATTTAACACATGCTTAAACATTTATACTTTGAATAAACTTAATAGATTCGGACAGTCAATTGTCATCAATTATGCATCTAAGTTTACCTTTGGGTAACGCCTAAATACACAATTTATCTATAATAATGCTAATAAACAACTTTAATTGACAACCAGTCACTCAAATCAATATGCAAGTCATCTTTGGATATACAAACATATTATAAAGTGCTTACATGTCTCCTTAATGTCATTAATCATATGCAATGATTTACCTTTAGGTGATCTCCTAGCGTTATAATTAATGAGCTAAATTGTTCACCCTTTATGTTACCATATAGCATCAAACAATTTTGAACAATTTATAACACACAATTAAATGCTTAAAGAACTTTTAAAGCTAGGCCACTTTGGTGACTAACAAGCTACCCTTAAAATTAAGCACTAAATTGTGAAGTTCTCATTATGATAATGTAATTTAGAATTAATTAACTTGAGAATTTAATCACTTTGGTGAGTAAAATTCACTTTAATGTAATTATAAAATTATCTATATATTTTATGAATTATATTCCTTATTCTGCCGTAAAATTCCTATGAACGGCCATGCTTGTTCCTGATACGTGGCCCTGCTCCCCGATGCATGGCCCTGCTCACTGATATATGGCCCTGCTCATATTATAGATTCAAATCCAATGTTTCTAACTTTTAAAACCTTAGGGTTTTCAATTATTGAATCCAAAGCAATTATTCAACATCAAAATAATGTCAATCCATCATATAAAATACCTAGGGTTCATATAATTTGGAGAAAACTTTAATGGAGAACTGATCTTTTATGGAGAATCAACGAAATTCACAACTTAACTCTAATACTAACTGTTAGAATTTTCTTTAATCCATTATGTAATTTCTATTATGCAATGACTATTATGAAATTACCTTTTCCCTTTGAGATCTTGAATTACGTTGCTCTCACAACACAATATATAGTTCTCACACAATTAAGGATTTAGAGAGCACTAACCTGAATTCATTGTTCTTTGATGTTACCTCTCTCTTTGATGTCGTTGATTCCTTGGTATTTTCCCTAACTCTTCCTTCCTCTTTCAGTTCCTCTCAGATGGTTAAGAGAAAGTTCTTTTATGCGTTTACCGTGAGCTCACTTAGAAACCGTGAAAAGTGAGAAAATAGGGAATGTCGTAACCTTCATTTGGTAACCGCTCTTTAATTTATATGAAGGGAGAGGGGAGGGTTTCCTTATAATTGTATTTACAATTATACCCTCAATGACTCTATATTTTATATTTAACCACCATCACATTAAATTGTTAATTAGAGTCATGTTATAAGTTACATAGGCCACTATAACAAGATTATTAAAATAATCTAACATCTTGTTTGAAGCGCAACACTAATAGGTCAATTGCTTGACATAAGGGCAGGTTAGTCGCCAAATGGATTCCACCAACATCCAGGAATAGAATTCAAAGACACATTCAGTCCAGTTGTTAAACCATAGACTATCAAACTTGCTCTCTGCCTTGCCATCTCACAAGGATGTTCTCTCCACCAAGTGGACGTCAACAATGTCTTTCTCCATGGCTCTATCTTCGAGGACATCTACTTGTCTCAACCTATTGGCTTTGTGCATCCCAATCTACCTCACCATGCACTACTAAAAAGTCTATTTATACAGACAGATTTTTAGAGCATTACAGATGATTTTTTTCATTACAGACGGATTTACATACGGACATAAATCGTCTGTAATATCCTCGTCGGTAAAGAATTACAGACGAATTTGAAAATTCGTCTGTAACTTACAGACGGGAGACAGGAAAATCCGTCTGTAATCCGTCGGTGATATATTTTACTATTATTGATATTTTTTTGTTTATATAGATAGTTATTTCTTGTTGTTCTTGATTATCACAATTTATAAACAAAATAGAAACTATAGATTCGGCATCTAAACATTCCAAAATGATTTATAAAATATAAAATTTAAATTTATTACAAAAGAAGACAAAAAAGCATCTAAATAAATACATTTAAAAATAAAATACAAGTCTTCATCAGGAATAATCTGTATGGTCATAATCTGAAGGAGCATCATCATCAGTAGAAGAGGAGTCAGTAGAGGAATGATGCATGGAGGTGAAAATCGGTGGTGTTGGAGCTGGGGGAGGAGGAGGAAGAGGTGTTGAGCTGCTTGCTCTCATGAGCTCAAAATAAGCATGCATCTGCTGCATTTGCATATGTTGTTGCGTCATTTGCTGCTGGACCTCCCTTTGCATTCTCGACGCCACCTTCTTCTCTATCTTCTTCTCCATTTTCTTTGCCCACTTCTTCTTCCATGCACTTTCTTTGCTCTTCCACATCTCCTTATTCTGCTTCTGGAGTTCTTCATTGAGGGCATGGACCTGAGTGCAGACCATGTCCTCCACATCCTCAGGTGCAAGAGAAGGAGCATCTCCAGTGACAGATGCAGGGGACATGGAGTCTGCAAAGCGGGCCCCCATGCCATAAATGCGACCTTTATAAAGGCCACCCACTGTCTGTGACCACATAGCATCCTCATCTACTGACTCTGGATTCTGAGAAGATGCTTCCTCAAGCCTTTGAATATAGTCATCCTACAGTTCAGTTCAGATAATTAGATATTAGTTTGGAGAACTATTTAATAAGTCGCTAAAAATAACATATATTATCAATAACTATGACTTACATATGTGGCCTGAGATCGTGTATCAACCCACAGGTTTTTGTCCTGCCTGCGAGTGTGTGTCTCCTTAAACAACTCTCCATTAGTAGGTGGCCTCTTCAACGACTTCTCTTGCAATTGGAAATAAATCACAATCTCAAATATGAAATTATAGATAGATTAAATTGAATTTTAAAATCACATACCAAGTTCGCCTTAGTGCCAGCCAAAGTCGTAGACCCACCAGTATGCAGTGACCCCCCTTTATTAGATGCCCTATTTGTCTTATTCTTTACAGAGAGATTTTTAAACTCATCCGTACCCCAATACTCCTGCAAGGCATGAAGAAAGTTGGGTGCTATCCAATCAGCAATAGAAGGGTCCTAGCGAGCCTCAGTGTACATCTGTCTTAGTCGCTTTGCAGTGCGACTCTTCCAGGCCTTGAAAATCATCTTTTCGTCCTGGGGGGAAATGGAGAAGTTGCTCTACAAAAACACAATTTCATTAGAAGAGGTAAAAACAGTCATATGTAATTACACTTAGTTAAAATTAATACACTATTATTACCTTCCAATCTTTGAACCATTCCATCTTTTTATCATTTGGCACCTTTGCAAAACTTCTATAAGGCGCATCAAACATCTTCTTAATCGTATCTGTGACCTAATGGAGACCTTTCTGTGGTGGTATCCAACTGATATATGATTTTAAAATAAAACATAACTACTAACATTCACATAAAATACGCAATGTTAGGCATATTTGATTGAATTACTTACCAAGTGGACCCATCTCATCTCAAAGTTTCTAACGATCTCGATGATGTCTGGGTCTGTGATGACTGCTGCCTGCTTACAGATGGGACAGCAGTGGATCCATCTCCTGTGCCCTGTGTAGACTGTGTGGCCTGTGTAGTAGGGGGTGCAGAGTGTGAAACTCGCTGTACTAGAGGGGGAGGAGCAATATACCCAGGATTGGGCACCATGATAAATTGCTCCTGTCCCCTAACCTGGGAGGTCTGCACTATTGTTGGTGTGGATGTCGAAGTCAGAGCGGTAGGTGAAGAAGTGTTGCCACGATCAGTTTGCTGAGTAACACCCTTCTTACCTTTACCTGCCATATCTGAATCAAACCATATATATGTTTAGAGACAAATATAACTCTGAATGCACACACCCATCCCATAAAGGCTTGTTTGCTGCTTCTAAAACATTATAAAACTTTGCAGCCTCTCTATTTGGTTCTTGTTCAGCTTCAAAATCATGAAAAATTCCAAATTGAGGACCAACAGCATCATAAACCATTTCTTGATAGCGACTATTGCTTTCTTCCCAACTTACATTACCTACATGACCACCTGATTGTAATATATTTGAATTACCTACTTGATTTTCTAAATTAACTTCTTCCCCATGCTCAGTCCATATCCAATAATCATGTTTAAATCCAAACTTATACAAATGATATCTAATTGAATCAATATCCAAAAATTTTCTACACTTGCACTTAGAACATGGACACCTAACGACCTGATTGGTGATGAATTGCTGCGAATTACAACAGACACGTATAAATTCCTCTATACCCTCAAAGAATTCAGGTTTTATTCCCCCCCGACTTGGGTGCAACCTATCATACATCCACTGAAAATTTCTGAGATACATCTTCCTCAAGAACTATATAAACCTAATACAAGTATACAATGTGGTATCAACCTTCTAAAATACATTACAGAAATTTTTAATATAAATTTTGGCAGAATCTCCCCTAATACATGTTAATTTCCTTACTTTTGTTTACCATTTTTTTACAAAAATGAAAATTTCACCTAAAATGAACTAATAAATTATATAACAATAAATTATTCGATACATCAAACATAAACACATCACAATCCTAAACCGTTCTAGAGCACATCTCCTTGTAACTCCACAACATGCATATTCTACAAACTCCACAAACACAAACAATCCCACAGCACACAATAATTAGGTTCGGAGAAGGACCTCTATACCCTTCCCCCTAGTCATACAATCTCCAATCCTACAACTCCATCTTAGAAATTTTAAGTCTCTAAAAAACATAAAAAATTAAAAAACTAAACCGATTAAAAGTTAGAGTATCGTACCAGGAATATAATGATGCAAAAAAACTTTCAAATGGTTGTTCCAATCACTCGCAATGG